CCATTGTAGATTCTGCAGAGTGACCAAACTAAGTTTGAAATATTGAATCAAGATGGCTTCGGATTATCACCCTTGCTTCACATGCTGAAAGATATAACAAAACAATTCTTTTAATCAGAGCAAAGTGATACATACAGTTGTCTTGTGCATTTTGGAACTCTTTTTTGAAAAAAAAAAAAGTGAGTCATGAAAAATCATAATAATACATACACTAGGTCAAAATAAAGAATTGAGGGGCTGGGCAAAATAACCAAGAACTGACAGTTGGAATATGATTAATGCTCTAATTGTTTTAAAATTTTAAATCATAATAATTAAACAGATTTTGCCGTTTGTGTCTTTAAGGCAAGTAATTAATTAGTATTGAAAATGTATCTTAAAATTTCTACCCACATTTTAAATTTTGTATTTTCCTTCAACATGAATGTATTAAAATAAGAGTATCATATGCGGTAGCTGAAATAAGAGACTAACACACTTCTTAATCATAAGTCGGTTAATTAGTTGTTCCATCCTTTTTTTCTTAGTTTTAAAAGCATTAAAATATTGTGCAATATACTTACAATGTTAATATCCTTTATGCAGTAGACCTTACACACACATTATTGATTAATTGATAACCTCCACCATTAGTACTAGTGAGTTCCTATATTTAAAGTGTTAAAAACTTGAAACTTAAAAAAAAATTATTCACCTTTGAAAGTCAGGTAATTTCCTGTTTCTCCGACTGCCGCATTAAGGCTTTAAACAAACATCAACGCTTTCTTACTTCATGAGTTTTCACTGAGAAAAATTCCTTTACCAACAAATTCTGAAAGTCAACATATAACGATTTTTTGATATTTTGTTTTGCAAACCCACTGTTGACGAAATAAGGATTTAAAATAGAAATAAAATTTATTTTTGATTAGTTAGCTCACCTGCTGCCGTGAATTGGAAATTGAGAAAAAAAATGTTTATTCTGTTCTGTAACATTAATTTACCAGAAAGAAATCTTAATTTGTTCACATAAATTAGAAGCATTTAACAGATCAATGCAAATTGTTGTAAATACGAGGGAGTTGTTGGTAATAATGATAATAATACCAGTAGCAAAGGCCTAGCCTATAGAGGCCTATGCCTACCTCTATAAAAATCATTAAAATAATCATATCATGGACTTTTTTTTACAATAATAAATAAGTGAGAACACAGCCCAATTTACCACACTCCAATACTTCCATTATAGGGCAGGCCGAGCCTAGCCCTCTTTGGCATATCTTCAGTTCTGTCTTTTCTTATTAACAGGCCTAGGCTAGACTCGGAGAATCATAGCATGCTTGTTATTCCCTAGGCCTAGGCTCCTAATCCTTTGCCTAGAGATCCAATCCAAACCAATTCAATTTCTGACTTAAAAGAGGCATTATACTAAGCCTAAATGCGCCAATTAAACAACATTAAATGAATATTAATATAAAAACAATTCTTACCTATTGGTACTGCTGAAATACTTCAGAATGTATGGTTATGGCTGCAGTTTTATCATCATGAATGTGCACTGAGAAAGAGATCTAATCCACTAACAAATTTCAGTTAACTGATAACATTCAAAAAAGCACCTTTGTTAATTTCCATGGCCTTCAGTGATAAACATGGATAAAGTGACCAATCACATTGGTGATTTGAGATTATCCGTGGTTGGCTGAACAGCTTAAATGACAACATCTGTTATTGTTAGCAAGGAGGTATAAAAATATTTTTATACCTCCTTGTTGTTAGCTTGTGTTTTAAAGTTGTATGTTTTATTATGTTATATTATTTTAGTATAGTCCTAGAC